ACAAAAAGCGTACATCTCGTTTCTTCGTGAATCTTCTAGAATATCATGACGTGTTACCAGCGTCATGTGACTACCACTGTCATAACAATATGTTACATCCCGTCTTTCAAAAATTGCCAATACTTTTGTATGATTTTCAAGATCTGATTTTTTGTGTACAAAAGACTTGTAATGCTTACTAAAAGTCTGCCAGATTTTGTGAAGATATACAAAAATGTATCAAAAGTTATAGTATGGAAATATAACGAGTACAAAATGGTTAGGAGGTAGGTTGATTTGACCGACTTCGTAGCGAGAAAGTTAAACACGTTTTTTAGATGGGAGGTAGCTCAAGGCTAGTGACACCTAAATCTCATTGTCAGATGTTCATAGGAATCAAGATTTTCTGAATAGTATTTTGATGCTTTGATGTGCACAACAATGGTAATCAAAACTTTTTTGCCCATTAATTTTATAATTTATTCACTTGTAGCTGAGGGCAGATAGTTTGGATAACTAGTGTCTTTGTTTGCATGCTATTGAACATGTTCTGCATGGAATGTATCATATTTGGAAAGTAACTCGAGGATACTGAGGTAATGGACATTTTTGGTAATCCAGTGAGTTCATTATCTTCATGAAATGCTAGACCATACTCAATGACAACCTGTTTTAGTACATTTTACCAGTAATTTGTCAATTCATTTTTTTGTTTGCACAATTTATGATCAATCTGTCCAACTGCTTTTGCTCACTTTGTGAATTCAGTCACATTATTACAGTGAAAACTGGACCTTTCATGCATTCATCCAGCATATGTCTAGTCATTGAAACTGTCTGTCACTAGTGGTTTTTGTTCAATGCTTAAAATCTTACAGAAAAAGCAATAGATTTAGCCGGTTGCAGAAGAATAACATAACCAATCATAGTTTATTTTGTCACCATTTGTATGTATATTTGTGAAATATAGTTGTGTTTTATTTTTTTAACTGACATGTCAGTAAAAAAAAGTAACAATTGTCTGGACGTCCGAGACGACCAGAAATCCTGTTTGATAAAATAAGGCTCAATTTACAGCCTGCCTTCCAAGGTAGCTGTAATAGTGCATGGAAAATATCTCCACATTAGTAACATCCCTATTCAAAATACAAACTATCATGTATGATAGTTCAACCAATTGCAATTGACAATTGCTCTGCTTACCGTGTGGTAAGTTTTTGAGCAGAAGTAGACAGTTCCATGGGAGGAGTGAAACAGTTATCAATGTCTCTTGTGTTGGGATAAAACAAACATGTTGGACTTTTTGAGTGTACAGAAAGTGCAATTTATTTTGGCACAAAATAATTGCTACTGTGGCAAATCCATTCATGTTATAGTAGTGACTAATAAAAGTCTTGCATTAATCCATGTCTTATAAGAACTATATGATAGGAATGGATGCAAAGTGTGTAAAAATGTAAATTAGCAAAACAACAGTTTTTGGCAGGATTTTTCAGATATAAACAAAGCCTTTTTCACTGTTTACATTATGTATAATGTACCATGTTTGTGTATTGCTTACAACAGTAGGAAGTAAATTCTCTGATCATTTGGTGCACAATATTCATCAAGTTATTGCATTATTTTTTTGTAGAATTGTTGAGTTCTGGTAGTGATCCTGCTACTGTATCCCACCATTTTACCTGAGCTGGCTTGTCAAATCAAAATAGAACATTTGTATTAATGATTTTTTTTTACACAGAATGTTGTTGACCATTCTATAGTATTTCTGAGGTTTAGACTCAAATTTGATGAAGCATGTGTGAATACACGAAGTTGTGTCAACAATGACATGGTGTTGATCTTAATAAGGTACCTGATATTTGATATAACCTTGTTAACCATGCTTATTTTTTTGTACATGCATCCTGACATTATTGTGAGAGATTTGTTTTCCTTATGAAAGGACAACCATTTAGAATGACTTAAATTTGTTCAGTGCATGTTAAACTGATTTGCTGAAGTCTTCAATAATGTGCTACAGGTCTGACCTTCCCTTTTTTGTCAAGAAATCTGTCATGTCATCTGTCAATTTCTCTTGCCATAATTCTATATCAGCCAGGAAGTTTGGATGCTGCTATTCTGGTTTTACTTGTTCTTGAGGCTGCTGAATGTGTTGTCCAGCTGCATTTTAATCCAAGTGTTCATGTGGCTGATGTTGCTGACTTTGTTGACTAGTTGTATCTATATCTGCAGGTTCTTGTGGCTTCTGATTTGAATTTTTTACTGAAAGCTCTGAAATCTACAGCTAAAAAAAGGAAAAATGAGAAAACTTAGATTTTACTTATGCTTAATATTTAAGATTTTATATTTTCATAGATATCTTAACTGAATGAATTTTGATTATGTACAAATAGTTCCCAAAGCACTTAATGAGCTTGTATTTTATTTATTCTCATTCATTATGTCAACAAACTTGGTCTGTAAGGTGTATACTTATTATGAGACACATGTTTTTAATTAGAAACATGTTCGTTGGTTTTTGAGATAATTTGTGGAGGCCCTGGTGCAGCTGCACCATTGAAACCATTGTGAATCCAGCTCTGGAATGTATTATAGCAAACAATAGTGGTATAGTTATATTATTAAAAGTTTTGTTCTTGAGTTACTTATGAAACGATTGGGTGTTTTATATTGTAACCAACAATGGTGGCGTAGAGTTATTTATTGTAAGTTTTGTATATCAGTGACTCGTGGAATAATCTGATGTTTTATATTATAGCAATTATGGTAATTTAGAGTTATTTATTAAAATGGCTTATAATGTAGCTAATGATGAAGATGAGAACATCAAGAGGTTTATTCAACAGAAATTAGACCAGAAACATGGAGTTAAAGTTCCAGATCTTCCTTATGAAAGATTTCTTAACTACAGAAATGAGTTTGGATTAATGATACTCATAGAACAAGCATATGGACTTCCTGGTAAGTTTCTGCACATATTGAAAATACAAATACATAACGATTACCAAAGAAGTGTCTAAAACTGTGATCTGGGGAGGCATTCAATATCTATATAATTTCTAATGTTAGAAAAACATGTCGATTCAAAAGTCTTGATAGAAATGAATAAAAACCCTATAACCTGAGCGCTTTTGAAAAGTGGACCTTTCTTTTTCAGGGGCAAACTGAAGAAGAAAGGTCCACATTTCAAAAGCACTTGGGTTACAGGGTTTTTATTTGTTCATATGATTTCTAAGTTAAGGATATTTGAAAGGAAAAACTAAAGCTCAGTAATACTTAATCTTTAATCTCAATAAGAACATCAAAGGTTTTATATATTGTTCACAAAGTGGGTAGAGACTTATTAAATACAAAATAAACTGGTAAACTCTATGTTGTTATTAAATTTTTTGCAGAATTTCAGCTTCTGTGCTGTAGTCATCACCAAGCCAAATTGATTGTAAGGTTAAATGATCTTATAATAGCACAAATTCTATACAGTTGTATATTTTCATTATTATGTGTATGTTTAATAACAATGTAGAATTTTTGAAGATTTATTAAAGTGACTTCCAGTTAGTGTTTGAAACAACACACAGGACACACTGTGTGTTATTAACAGGAGTGAAACTTTATTAATTTTCCTATTTCTGTAGCTCAGACTGTGGTAATCCAAACTATTACATATTTTCAGTGAATGACCTCTACTGGACTCTTACTTCACTTATCAAATTTCAAGGCAATTCATTAAGAAGTATGTGAGATGTATAAAATCTCCAATTTTGATTGAATTTATTCCTTTTTTTTTCTTCATATCAAAATTACCAATATTTTATTTGATGAAAAAACATACTTAATTTTCATGGATTTTTTTTTCAAATTTGGTACACTGGTAGACCTTTAGAACCTACAATTAGATGTCATATTTGGTCTAAATATAAGCCACATTTGGAAAGTTATTCAACAAAAACTATGGAATTTTGATCAAAATCTTTGTGCATGCCTACACAAAAAGTTACATGAGCTATCGGTCTGAAATTTTTATTACAGCTTTACCTGTACCTAGAGTATAGGTGGATCATTTTTAGTTTTTTTTCTGGATTAAAGACAACTGGTTTTAGAGAAGCAAAACTCTAGCGTGAAAGGACGTGCAAATACATAAGTATTGGTTAGGCCAAGCAAACTATATTAGCAGTTTCTAGCTCAAGTTTTTAAATGAATTATTTGGTGGATGGTTATTATTTATTATTCATTGTCAACTTTTCAGTACAAATTAGCTAAATTTTATGAAATTCTCTTAACTAAAGAGCATTTAGCATCATGTATATTAGCTTTAGCAATTAGCATAATTAATTATGCTTTTATATGGCAGCCTGAGTGCATGCAGGTGATAATAAGAAACTATTAATCTACTTTCCATGGCATTACTATAAAGGAAGCTATTAACACTGTTTTAGAGAGGAAAAATTACCACCATATATTTTAAAGAATCTGGTTGGTTCTATAAAGTAAAGGTCTGTTCTGAATAATAAGACTGCAATCCTAAAGCTAATGTGAATTACCATGGAGTATCACTTTCTTACTTGCTGTGGTTTGTTGGTGTGTATTGACAAAAAAAAGTTATGATATCTAATTAAAAACACCTTAGGTGTGAAAAAAAAGGTGTAGCCAAAAAAGAATTGAGTGTGCAACTTAAAGGAAAGAAATCAAAATTGGCAGCCAAACTGGTAGCTACACTTATAGCATTGATAATAATTTTACACTAAATATTCATTAATTAGTCAGCCAGACCACATTTTTTGTTCAACTTTGGGTATGGTGATTGTAAATCAAAATATGTGGCCTAACTAACTAATGAATGTGGCTGCACCTTTTTTTTCACACCTAAGGTGTGATTAGATTTTAGTTGTCTGCTGAGACATCAGGACTCTGTTGGTTGTCAAGTGAAATATTAAACTTCTTGTTTTTTGTTTGGAGAGACATCAATTATCCTTATGGATGATTTGAGAAACATAAGATTTTGTGCTAAATGCATAATTTGTTATGTCTGAAAATATTTCCTGCCATATTATTTTTGTTGTTTTCAATTTTGTGCATGTTTGTTTTTATGTCAAACAAGAAAATGCTTTAACTGTGGTTTGTTTTAATTTTTTAAACCCAGTGTATCTTTCTGGCCGCTATATCCAGTGCCTAGCTCAATTGCTACCAGGAATTGATGCACAAAAAGAAGGTTCAAATGTTGTCAGCTTTCTTACTCAGACCTTGGACTTTAAGTGTCCACAGAGATCTCCTGATTGGCTTGACCCTCCAATGGTGAAGTTTTTTTTGTAGCAGCTCTTAGTTATGAATAAGTTAATGTTTTTATCTATCTGAATGTTATAATGAACAGTTGTATTTTCACAGATGCAGTATTTGAAGTGTTGAAGTCATATGTTTATCTGTGTAAATATAACAATGAACAAAATTATGTTTTCACAGATGCAATGTTGAAAGTACTGAAAATAATGACAAGTTAGTGATTGTTATCTGTCTGAATTTAACAATGAACAGTTGTATTTTTAGAGGTGCAGTACTGAAAGTATAATGATCATGTGTTAATGTTTATTGTCTGTCTAAACGTAATAGTGTTCTAGTGTTGAAAGTTTTGGAATAATGATTGTAAGTTAATGTTTATAAAATGCAAATGAAAGTGAATTGTTGTAGAGTTTTTAGTATAGACCTAAAGAAAATTTTTTTTTAAATGTTTTAGAATCTTATGAAAACTGAATAATAATATAATCAGCCATAAAATATTTTTTGTTACACTTGCAACTATTGCAATGATAGCTTTAAGTAAAATAGTAGATTTAAGTAGATTTATTTATAATGTTTTACGGTACTTAAACCTGGTTTGTGACAGTTGTTGGCATGTATGAAAATGTGTTATTTTAGAAGGGCCATTCATTCAGCTTCAGAAGAAGAAAAAAGTTGTTTTCTATATTTTATAAACTGTCATAAATCCAGTATTAAGTTAGAATATTTCTCTATGAACATTTATTAAATGAATAATTAAGCGTGTTTGTATAATACAATCAATACTTGTGCTTGAAATGATTGTGAATATAATTTCTGTTTTTATTTACAGCGAGTCTACACAGCGTACGATGAGAGAACAGTAATTCTATTATCCCTTTTTGGCCTGAAGCCCAAGTATTGTTCTTCTGGCACATTGCTAGAAAGTGAACATGGAAAGTCAGACCTAAAGTTAAACAACTCTTTAGCCTGGACAATAGTACCTTGCTTTGAAAAGTAAGATTTAACTTTGAATTTACTTTATGTATTTTGAAAAGTAACAGCTCTCAATTTTCTTTACTTGAATTGAAAAGTAAGATTTATTTTTGAATTTTGAAGAAACGTTTTGAAATGTAAAATTTAGACTGGAATTTTTATTACTTGGTTTGAAGGTAACATTTAACTTTAAATTTTATTGTTTTGAAAATTAATATTTAGCTTAGTTATACATGTTTCTTAAAGTTGGAACATTGCAAAAAGTTATAGATAAAAGTTAAACAAAAGAGAAATTATTATTGCTAAATTTGCATAAAATACAATGCAAAAAGCTGGAAAGAAATATTTATGTTAATTGTGTAAAAAAATATTATATGTGGAACCCCGAGACCATTGACTTGAGATGTGTTGTTTATTACCATCCGTGAAACATTGATTTCTAGTGGCTGTGTCTTAGCTGGGACTCATCATGCTCCACTATTTAAAGGACATGTTGACCCGAGTATTGTGTCGAAACTTGAATATCTACCATGGGATTTCGTCCTTAAGAAACTGATGAAAGATGGAGCAAAGCTTTTTGTAAGCAAAAACTCCTCCTACCAGTCTTTTCTTGTTAATAGAAAATAGTCAAAAACATCTTATTGTAAGTTTTAACAAATACTGCAAGGACTACATGCACATTAAGCAGCATTTCCAGGCATTTTTACATTCCTTAGTATTAAAAAATATACAATTTTATACTATAGAATTGTATTTGGTGAGTATGTACACTAGTCTGTGATTTACTAGAAATGAAACTTATAACCAGGTTCTCTTGAAAGCTGCATGTTTTTTTGTTCCTAGATTCTTCAAGTTTTTAATCATGTTTCTTGGTATCATTACCAAAGCAATAACAGGCCTGTGATGGTTTTACTGTCTCGAAAGTTTTATATGTTTTACAGTAATTTTTGTATGCTGAATCCGAAAATGATATTCATTTTTCTCCATCACATACAGATTTTTCACAAAACGTCATATGTACTTTAACATAATGGAATTATGCTTAAAATGTTGACAACCACTGGTTATAGATTTCTCTTGACCAATCAAGAGTGAGAGTATATAAACTGTTAACAGGCCACATGATGTGCTAGTTTTTGATAGTATTTGTTTGTGTGTGCACTTTGACATTATTTTTTCTTTTCAGTATTATTTATTCATTGGTATGGCAACAAGAGGTTGTGTAAATGACCCAAACATATTCTGTTATATCTGTGGTAAATTTATTGTAAAGAAACAAAGGCAAAACAATACAAAATTTGTCAAAAAATCATATTACGTGTATTTTGGAATGAAACTTGGGGACCAAGACAAATCATGGGGTCTGCACAAAGTTTGCACTGTTTATGTTGAAGAGTTGAGTCAATGGACTAAAGGTAAGAAAAAGTCTTTGCTTTTTGGAATTTCAATGGTCTGGTGTGAGACTAGAAACCATGGAGATGACTGCTATATTTGCTCATGTAACGTGCAAGGCTACAACATTCAAAATAAGGAAATTTCTTATCTGAACCTTCAATCTTGTATAAGACCTGTTGCTCATGGACCTGATGTACCTGTACCTACTCCACCAAAGACTCTTGATACAGTTTCATCTGATTTTGAATCTGATGTCAAGAGAAATGATGATAGGGATTGTATTCAACCTGAAATGTCTGGTGAACTTAATGATTTGGTGAGAGATTTGGGTCTTCCAAAGGATTCTTCAGAGATTTTGGAGTCCAAACTTTGGCCTAATATCTTAGTTTCTCCAAGGATATCATTTTACTGGTACAGAAATCATGAGAAAGAGCTTATACCATACTTTTTGCAAGAAGGCTCACTGGTTTATTGCAACAATATTGCTGAATTAATACCAATGCTAGGAGCTGCAGTCTATGAACTAAGTGAGTGGCAATTGTTCATTGATTCTTCCTAAAGAAGTCTAAAAGGTGTTCTCCGTCATCTGTTCCTGTTGCTCATTCAGTTCACTTGAAGGAAACATACAAAAATCTCGAACTTCTTCTTAATAAGGTCAAATACAAAGAACGTGGTTGGTTACTTTGTGGAGAATTAAAAGTCCTTTGTGTGTTGTTGGGTCAACAGTCTGGTTATACAAAGTTTCCATGTTTTTTGTGTGAATGGGACAGCAGAGCATGAAATTAGCAAGAAACAATGGCTACGCAGAGTTAACCTGATACCAGAATAAAAAAACATTGAACATGAAAGTTTGGTTGACACAGAGAAAGTCCTATTACCTCCACTTCACTACGTGGGCAATTCTCAGCTCTTTCCGAAGCGAAACTTAAAGAAGGGAATTTTGTTGGGCCTCAGATTTGGAAATTGACTTTGGATGAACAGTTTGAAAGGATAATGAGGAATGTTGAAAAAGAAGCATAGACTGCCTTTAAAGATGTTATTGGCAAATTTTTAGGAAGCAATGAAGAATCAAACTATGAAAATATAGTTTGTTTGTTTGTTATGGATTTCGCGCAAAGCAACACGAGGGCTATCTGCGCTAGCCGTCCCTAATTTAG